GAACTATAGTTAATAAAATTCCTATGTAATATTTAATGGTCCAATAAATATATTTGTGGGTGCATCTATATTTAGCACGTTGCGCATTGAAATATAAAATTTGTAATATCTAAGTATCGTTTATCAAAACTTTAAGACTATACATTTTCAAATTAAATAAACATATATAAATACTTAATCCATACCTATACCCTACTCATGTATACTTGGTTTTGATTTTTTCTGAGGTCTAATATCAAGCCAAATAATTATATTTAGGGAAGAAAAGTGAAATTAAGATGAAATAATTATTTTTACTTTTATTTTTTTTTTAACAAAAAAAAATATTTTGCAGTTCAAGTTGTTTCAAACCATAAAACATTAATTCTTAAATAGAAAGAGGACCTTTAATATTATGAGCCATCTTCTCATTTAATAATTTCTATTTTATAAATTGAAACAGTTAAAATTATAAAATAATATTTTTTATATATGATTAATTTTTTAGTTTATTTATTGTTTTTCTTAATATTCTACTTCTTTATTTTTTTATAAATTTTTTATTAAATTATTTAGCACCATTAATGAAGATTATTAAAAAAAAATAATATAAGAACAATTTTTTTATAAACTTACATGTTATTTAAATAATTTATTATTTTTATCCATTTAAAATTTATGATATTGTATTCATTAATTCATTTAATAACATACCAAAGTTTTATATATATAGTATAATAAGTTGTGTTTATATCATTGTCCTAATTTAAATTGGTGGGGTCCACATTCTAGACATTTTTGCGCTAAGTGCTGACTGGACATGGCCGAACGGCCGTCCAACGGGCAACTTGAGTTGCCCGCCTCATTAGAGTTTATGTCCACATTCTACTTTCCCAGAAAATCTTAACAATTCTCACCAAAAAATGAAAAACCTTAACAATTTTATTCCAAAAAAACATACTACTACAATTTTTTACAAGATTATGAAAAAAATCCATAGACCTAATCAGGGAGACCAATTGTGACGTGCCCAAAAGCAGCACCAAATACTCTAACAACTTTCTTCACTTTAATACGGTACCCGGCGCCGGCACCTTCTTCAGCGTTCCGGCAAAACTCCACTTTATCCCCAATTTCAAGTTTTCTGGTGCAAACAAACTCACGCCATCCCTTGGTAAGAACCGGCTTCAGGTGCTTTTTCTTGCGGGTATAACACCGGAATGTCCAGACCCGACCGTTCTCGTCTTTGACCTTGAAGTCAACCGCATGATGTTCGCCGGACAACGGGAAATACTTGAGAGACTTGCTGGGTACAGACAGTCTCTTCCCAACGTCTGTCTTGCTAAGACACTTGGCAAATATAGCCATCGAATATATTTGTGTTGTCGCGTGACTCTGTTTCTAACTCGAAGCAAATTGGATCGGAATATATATAGCAGAGGAAAGAAGCTCTTCTAAGATTGCGCGATTTTAACAGTTTTTTGTTCGAATTTTGGAATTCTATGATGGAATCGTTCGATTTTGATTCTGTAGTTCTCCTTACTTGGTGAGGAAGTACTTAGTTTTATAATAAAGAAAAAGTCGGTGAAGGAGTTCGATTTTATTTTCTCTTTTTTTGGGTAGAAAGGACGTTCGATTTTCTTCCGTGTCGCGCGATTTGTTAATTTATTTTTCTCCCAAATCGCGAGTATAAAGTTGTAGTTTATGAATACTACGAGATGGGGGCCCGCAGTCGGTCAAGACTCGAGAGGCTGAGTGAGACTACCTCTATTTCAATTCTTTCGCGAGTCTCTTCTTGTGCTTCATTTTTTTACTACCAACAAATTTGGACAATTTTGGTCCACATCTGTTGACCCTTTCTTGGGCATCTCATATGCTGTCTTGATAGAAGGCCTTTCTTTTTCTTCTTCTTTCCTTTTTGTTTTTTGTTTTTTTTTTAAAAAAAAAACAGAAAAGAACTTTATGGTAAAAGACAAATTTATACTCATACGATCGATATCTCCCCTAAACTATCTAGAATTCAATACGGAAAAAGTTTAGAAAACTACTAATACTTTGGCGAT